AGGATTCACTGTGGCACGCTGGGTTTGCAGAAACCCTCATTAGTTAGGGAAGTATAGAGAAATTGCCGTGGTCTTTCGTCCCCCTGCGGCGCTTCGTGCAAGCTCGGGGGAAAGTTGCCATCCATAAACTTTTTATCGTGACTTTATTTTTAAGGGCTCCCTCCCTTTAGTTTTCTCCGTGGTGTTTGGCTTTGAGTAGATGCTGCTAACCTTTTCTGTGGGGGATCCTTGTGGAAATGCATTCAGGGTACATGAAATGCCAGTGTGTCCAGGGTGCAGAGGGCAGGTGCTTTCGGGGTGCAGGAAGTGCAGTCGGCACTAAAACATATATGCTCCATATCTGAAACGTTTTTTTTCTCTCTATTCCTGAACAAAAGTTCCCTTCCCCTATGAAGACTATGGTGTGGGCTTGCATGCACATACATTTGTGTATCTATATAGCCCAGAGGTCAAGGATGGATGTTCTCATCCATCACTTTCTTCTTTTGAGACAGGATCTCTTCATTAGACCATGAGCAAACCAGTTTGGTTCATCTGGCTGCCCCGTGAGCCTCCTGTCTGCCTCCCCAACATGGCTTGGTGAATGGACAGGGTCAGCCCTGTGCCTGAGAGGGTGAAGGTGATCTGTGGATGTCTCTCTCACTGCTCACTCTCTTTTCAGTATCCTCCCCTGCTCCTCTTCACGTTCAGCTGAGATACCAGCTTTTTCTGGTGTGCCTTTTAGCTTCCCAGGGGGCCCTGGAAGATGCCCCAGCCTCTGCGTACCACTCCTTATTCCAGACACTTCCACAGTGGGATTTTCTTTCATTCTTTCTAGAGCCAGGAGCTGAGTAGATCACTCCTTCCGGGAACACCTATGCATTTACATTGATATGCATATATCTGTATATCTGTGATATCGAATGCACCACATTTATACACCACAGATATCACACATGTATTTTAAGTGAATCTTTTGACGAAAGTGCTACAATTCAGGGGACAATTCTCTTGCCTTACAGCAGGATCCAAGATATGCTACAGACGTGAGTATGTAGGCCCAGCAGAGTGAGCCCCTGTTCTATGTTATGACTGTTTGTGTGTGTGTGTTTGTTTTTGTTTTATTTGTTTGTTTAATTTTCTTTTTATAACACAGGGTCTTGCAATGTAGTCCTGACTGGCCTGGAACTTGCTATGTAGCTCAGGTTGGCCTTGAACTTTCCACAATCCTTCTGCCTCTGTTTCCCGAATGCTGAGATTAGAGGTGTCATGACCACACCCAGCCTGTGTTTCCCGTGCTGAGGAGCAGGCCAAGCCCTGCTCCTTGCCCCTGGCTCGGTTCATCCCAGGACCACTGAGGACCTGTAAAAATACCAAGTCTGGACCTAGATACATGGATGAAGTTATTCCATCTGGAACATAACCTGAGCATGTGAATTCTTTTTTAGAAGTCCCAGGTGGTTGATTATAATGTGTGGCCAAGAATGAAAAACCCTGCAAGAGTGGAATTGTCTGTGGGTTTGGGGTGGGACGTGGGATGGTGGTGGGGGTGGCATAAAGAGACCCCGCCATCAGGTGTATGAAGTTGAAGAGACCACAGCTTTTGAAGATATGAAAGAGGAAGAAGTTTTCGACACACGTACTTTTTCTATGAAGAGCAGGGCTTTGTGTTTAGCGCTAAGTATAGCAGAAAACAGAGCCACTACTGCAGCTTACACGGAGAAATGGCTGAGAGACCTCTTGCCTCAGACTTGAGGAAATTTTATGAGATACTGAGTGATAAAGATAGATTCACGAGGCGTGCTCTCCAGACTGTGACAACATGTGCGCCACTTGATTTAAATGCTTAGAAGCTGCTACTTACCTGTGACTAAGGAAGGTCTCTTGAGAGAAGTGGCTTTTGAGGTAAACACCAAAGAAGTGGTACACTCTGACTAAGAATCAGGCACAAGGCTATGGAGGTACAGTGGCCAAGGCCCTGCGGAGACCAGCATAGATCTTCTCTGGTAAAAAGAGAGACATCAAATCACAGCTGCGATGTCTTCTAGCCTTAGCGTCTCTCTGTCCCGCATGCTCTGTCGTCCATCCTTTCCCCTCTTCCCATGCTCCCCTCCTGCACGAATGATTGACACATTTGTTGGGCATTTTCTTGCTGGACATGAAGCTTCAGCACACAGATCCCCATGGCATGAGAAAGCAGAGGAGATTCAACGAAGGGCTAGCACTTCCTCAGCAATTTCTCCCTTGACAAATGTCCACGGTGGGTTGAACTGTATCCTCTAGAGAGACACGAGGAGGCTCTAGTTTCCAGGACTGCATATGTTTCTTTGTCTGGCGACAAGGCCTTTTGGAGATGTAATTATTTCAGAAGGGTCCTACTCTAGTCGGGCAGGCTTTTAATACAACTTGACCCTTGCCTTTAGAAGAAGACCAGCTGGCTGGAGACATAGCTCAGTGGTAGGGCACTTGCCTAGCTTTTCCCAGGCCTGGGGTTCAATCTGAAATACCACATTTATAAAATAAGAGGACATAGTTGACTCACCCAGAAAGACAGGGAGAAACCTTTGACAATAGTGGGGCAATAATGTAGGCCAAGGAAAGCCAAGGGTTGTCAGCAAAGCCAGAAGGAGGGCGAAGGCATGGGATGCACGGCCCTCGAGTCTCCAGAGAAAGCCGGGTTCAGATGACACACACTTGTTTCATACGCTAGTCTTCAGACTCTGTTAGAAAAGAATCCTTAGGACACCAAAGTACCTTTTAGGAAAATAACAGACAACAGCCACACTGTGTCCTGTGCAGGCAGGAGCCAACCTTCATATGTAAATGTTGCCAAGACAACTGGACAGCTCTCCACAGCAACCCGTAGTCTCCAGAGACCCTGTCTGTCTAAATCGCCGGAGAACTTGGCTGCACATGTCTCCCACTAAGCATGTGGATGGCACTGCGTCCCTTCCTCGGAAGGACGGTCACTTTGCAATGGGCATGCTCTTTCAGAGTGCAGAGCTCAGAAGCCCCGCATAACAGTGGGTGAACAGGATGTTCTTGGCTATGCACCAGTAAGGTTTTCGTAAATTGAGTCATATTTTAAGTACTCCCAGGGAGCTTGCTATTTAAATTCAATTCTTCTGCAGAGCAAGTTCTGCTTCCTTCCCCACTCTTCAAAACAGGTTTTTTTTTTTTTTTAAAAATTATTACTATTATTTTTATTATTTTCTTACAGTGGAAAGCACAGTCATGTATTAAATACCATGAGGAGAAAATAACCTCTATACTTGGAGTTAGGTGAAGAAAGATGGAAATGGTGGATCGGCAGAGTTCTTGGATGTTTCAAGTTGGCAGTTTACCAAGAGCTTTTCACTAGCAGTTTTAAATTAAGAAACGGGGTGAATTTTATTATTGTCTTTAAATGTCTGAGGTTCTATAAATATATTTGCTTTCTATAAATGCAATAATGTTAGTACCAATTTCAGAATATTTAATTTTCATATCCTAACCTAGTTTGACTGCTAGGATCTCATACTTTTCCAAAAAAGGAAATTCCTTGGAATGTTCTGGGAGTTCAAGATAAAATAGGAATCAATTTGGTTAGACAATGAGAAACACACGGGCAGGGGAACTTCCTTAGTTCATTGATTGATTACTGAATTCACAAGAGATTTCATAATTCACGGAGGAAGTGCTGAAGATACCCATGGTTCCATGACTGACAAGAGAGTTTTGAAAGCATAATTGTTTGGGGGTGGAGGGTAGAGGCTGGCCTTGAACTCACAATCATTCTACTCCAACTGTTAGATTGTTAGGATTACTTGTGAGCTCTGCAGAGTTGTCTTGCCATCTGAATCCATGCAGACACAGTCTTGCATATTAATGACAAGGCACGTAGACAAGAAAGGGGTCAATAACGGTTGGCTTTGTAAATGGCCGAAAGCTAAAAGCAATGTGAAGCCGGAGCACTCTGTAGCAGTGGGCTAGGGAGGTCCTAAGAGAGAGCAGTGTTTGCGGTCACGCAACCCAGACCCCTCCTGCGTTCCTGGCCCGACACATGAAGTCCATAATGACAGTCCCTGTGGCATGACGCTGTGGGGGTGGTTGTTATGTGTCCCACCCGGCAAGCCAGCACATTTAAATCACAAGACTTCTGGGAAATGGAAAGTCCAAACTGAAAGCCATTTGCTTGATAGCAAGACCTTGTCACCGAGAACCTTGCTCCATGTTGGGCCCATTCAGGAGTCGGAGTCCCTACTTTGGACAGACCTCACTGTCAAAAAGTTCACTTAAATTAAAACCTGAATCTTCACATTTCCTCGTAACAAAGTTTGCTTGTTTGGGTGTTTTGTTTTGTTTTTGAAGGTTTCTAGAGGGGGAAGTCAATGAGGCAGTTGTTTCAGGGATAAAGTTTCCGTGAAAGCTGGCGAAGGGTGACCGTGGCCCAGCATTCAATAAAGCAAGACAAACAGCATCTTCATGCAATCTTTACAATATCTCAAAATAAATACAGACAAAATCTGTGCTGAATAAAATATCTACATTTTAAGTAATGATGGGATCAATAGTGTTGATTTTTTAAAAGAAAAACTCATTTGGCCTCAGGGTCTGTTTGAGCCCTGGCTTCACAAGCGGTTGCTTCTAGAACACCATCTGTAAGCATCAGCCAGGTATTTAAAACTTTCCTCATTCTAGTCTGGAGACAAACCTTTCAGTTAGGAGAATGATGTAATGTTCTATTTACAGGCAAACTCTCAACACCCACCCGTTCACTTACTCCTCACCAAAGGCGCCTCTCCCCTCTGTCGTGTCGTGGGCCCCTGAATCCCTCAGGAGAACCCTCACAAGTCGGCAGATCCTACCCTCACTTTTTTATTTTCCTTATTTCACACCCTTCAACCCTCATATTTCCCTGTTTCCAGATTTGGTGGTGGAGGATACCGACCGATCCAGTGACCCACTAGCTCGGCTTTTCAGAGCTCCCCGTGCGAGCGTGCATCACCCCACTTAGTCAGCTAAACAACCTTGTGCTGAATTTGAACCAAGGGAGGGGATCAGCTCCATGAAGAGAGGCCGTGTCCTCCGTGCGGAGGCCGGGGTCACAAGCCTTTATTAGAGACAGCTGTGGAGGAGACCACAGAGCCCGTGTCGCTTAGGAAATGCAGACTTTTCCTGGCAAATGGGAAGCCATTTATAGTTCACGGCTTCTCCTGGTGGGTTAAGTACAGTAAATCCTTATGAGTAATGCCAGAGTCAGAGAATCAATAAAAACCAAAATGACCTTCCCTCAGCCTGCCCTCTAAGTAGAAGACTCCCGAGTGACAGACGCCCCCTGGCCACACTGGGAAGGCAGAATCTGGGGGAAGTGACAGCGATCACTCCTGCGTTGCTTTCTCCTCTGCCTTACCCACTTTTAATCAGTTCTGGCAGGGCAGGAGATTTTTCAGGTGTGTTTCCAAGTTTAATTTCTAGAACTTTCACACTTCAGAGTGACATTGGCCATCACGTGATGGATGCAGCACCTTAAAATTTCTCCAGGGGAGTGGCAGGCAAGACTCAGCTGCACACCGAGACGGTTGTTCTTCAAAACACTGAGCCAGGAGCTGGTGGCGTGTCAAGAATCGAGGGTCATTTGGCTGAAGACGCAGGAGACGGCTGTGGGAACAGCACTGCCCTGGTGATTAACATAGTTTATTTGCCACTGTGTGTGTGTGTGTGTGTGTGTGCAGGCACGCGTGTTAGTGTATGCATATGTACGTGTTTCTATATGTGAGGGTCTCTCATTGGCCAGTTAGCCTGTGCCACAGTGCCCTAGGGAGCTGTCTCTCTCTGTCTTCCTAGTGCTGGGATTACAAGTGTCTGCTAAGAATACTGGCTTTTTTCTTTTTTCGGTGGATTCCGAATATTAACTCAGATCTTCATGTGTGAAAAGCAAACTCTGTATCACCTTAGCCATATCCCCAGTCCCACACTGGTGACAGAATTAACAATCATGCGTTCTATCAAGTTAAATTGGTAGCCAGCTGAGCTATTTGTAGGTTCCAAGAAATGAGCTGTTTCCCAGTCAGGTTGTGCGAGCAAATCCTTGGCATCCTTTCTGATGTGCAGTTGCATCTCTGCCTCTATTCTCACCTGGTGTTCCCATTTGTGTGTCCAGGTCTAGAGTCTCTTGTTCCTGTTGGTATGCTAGTGGTTGGATTTAGGGGCTAGCCTGCTCCAGTATAACTTCATCTTGGTACAGCTATATTGGCAAAGACTCTAGTTCCAATTGAGCTGGCAATCATAGGTCGTGAGGTTTAAGACTTTGGAATATCTTTCAATAGTAATGACAAATTTCTTCCCTTAACAGTGTCTCATGTTGCACGGAAAGGGAGGGGGAGGGGAGATAGGGAGGAAGGAGGAGAACATGAGGGAATGGGATGGTTGAGATGGGGAAGGACAGAGAAGAGCAAGGAAGGAGATATCTTGATTCTAGGAGCCATTAGGGGCTAGCCTGAAATCTGGCACCAGGGAAATTCCCTGGAATCTTCAAGGATGACCCCAGCTAAGACCCTAAGCAGTAGTGGAGAGGGTACCTGAACTGGCCTTCCCCTATAACCAGATTGATAACTACATTAATTGTCATCATAGAGCCTTCATCCATCAAATGAAGGAAGCAGATGCAGAGATCCACAGCTAAGCACTGGGCTGAGCTTCCAGAGTCCAGTACAAGAGAGAGAGGAGCGATAATATGAGCAAAGGGGTCAAGACCATGATGGAGAGACTCACAGAAATAGCTGATCTGAGCTAGTGGGAGCTCACTGACTCCAGACTGACAGTGGGGAACCTGAATATGACCAGAGCAGGCCCTTTGAATGTAGGTGAAAGCTGTGTGCCTTGGGAAGTCTGTGGGACCACTGGCAGTGGGACCAGGATTTATTCCCGGTACATGAACGGGCTTTTTCGAGCCCATTCTTTTTGGAGGGATACCTTGCTCAGTCTAAACATAGGGGGGAGGGCCTTGGTCCTGCCTTAAACTGAAATGTCAGACTTTGTTGATTTCCCATTGGAAGCCTTACTATCTCTGAGGTGTGGATGGGGGCAGGGTGTGGGGAAGCTGGGGGAGCAGGAGGAGGGGAGGGAGTAGGTGTGTAAAATGAGAAAATAACATTAAAAAAATACAAAAAAATTTTTTTAAACCCTATGTACTCCCAGTTACTGGAACTAAACACAAACAAGTTCTTGAGTGTGTTCTCTCATGTTTTAGGGTAATGTGTCTACCATTTAAATGAGAAGAATCACCTGAGACACTGATGAAGGAAGACTTTGACTGAATGTCTGCAATGAGGTACTGTAAAAAGCCATAGTTATGTTGAACTATTCTTTGACTCAGACACAATGACTCACATATTTAGACATGTTAGATGTATGCAGCTATCTATCATAGCTCATGTATGCTCTTGGCTATGCTCAAGACAAATGGAATTTTATGCCCTTTAAAGAAAGACTGAGGGCTGGGAGGAAGCTCAGTTGGTAGGGTGCTTCTTGCATAGCACGCACAAAGCCCTGAGTTCAATCCCCCACCCATCCATCACAACACATGAACTAGCATGGTAGTGCCTGGTTGAGGTTGGGGAAGGGGACTCAGAAGTTCAAGGTAATCTTCATCTACACAAAGAATTCAAAGCCTGGGCTACATGGGATTCTGCCTCAAACAAAAACACAGAAATTCTTGAGAACTTTGTCTTTCAGTTTGCAGTAGCCAAGATGTAGAAGTAGAAATGATCTCCACTTAGAGCCTCTGCTTCCCTGTGGGTTTTTATTTTTAAATTCCAATTCTCTGGCAGTTAAGAGATGTACTTAATTTGTTGGTATTCAAAGAATTTCACAGAGTGGAAACAACCTATATGCTCAGGTGGATTATCTTCCAATAGTGAGTGAATAAATAAAAATTTAAGCAAAGCCATCCTCCACCTCAAATTCGAGCATTTGTATGCGGTCTAGGTTTCTTTATAGGATGACTCATTCCTCTCAGTGGCAGTTAGTCAGCTGCCACTGACTAACTCTTTACCTTCCTCTCATCTAAACACCACTGGGAAAATATCGACATCAAGATGTAGAAAAATGAGACTTTTCTCATCCTTTATACCTCTTGGTACTCAAGAGGCTAAATAAATTATCATCTCCATCGTCAAAAGATCTTTCACTGCATCCTTGCTCGCTTTTATTTTATTATTTTGACCCACGAAGGGCATCGCTCTTGATCTCTCTTCATGCATTCGTGGTTCTCAGAATTCCAGGGACACAGTGACCCTAGGTTACCAAATATTCTCACGCCACCTTCTTTCCCTCTAGCGATAAATTCCTTAAAGCCGTATCCCCGTCTGACTATCAAGGCCCCCAGTGAGTCGTCAGGGATATAAGTTACATTGTGTGTCTCCATGAATGACAGTGAGTGTTAGGAAGGGAGCGATTCAGAAAAAACAAACAAACAAACAAACAAAAAAAAAAAACAAAAAAAACCCTAAAATAATCCTCTTTCACATGGTACCCATGGCAACAGCATTTAACTAACTGATGCAGAGGGACCAGTGACGGAAGGGCAATGCCCGGCTCACAAGGGAAACCATGGCCACGCTTCTCATTCCAGCTGAGAGCAATTGCAAAGAGAAGGCTAGCTACTAAACATTAGGCTCAAAACATTTTTAATACCATCTCCACTGTGACACAGTCTCTGAGGCAGCCACAAACATACAGCATGGAAGTCAACCCTGGTGGCGTTTCTCTTGAGGCATCTCACATAGTTTTACCCCAGGTTTCTAAAGCTGATGAGATGTATTGGCCACTCTACCTCCTGTCCCCATGAATGCAACTGAAGGAAATTACGGTGAATGACTGCTGCACTCGTAAAACTGCACAAGACCCAAGCAAGACCAAGCCAGATGGCATTCTTGCAGGGCCAGGGAGGTCTCCCTAGCCCCTCCCTAGCTGAGGAGACTGACAGCCACTGGCTTCTGAAGGAGAGTCACTTTTCTATAAGGTGTGGCCTCTCGTAGGTCTACAACACCCGTGGTTAGCAGCATGGCCCTGCGCATATGGGCAGCACAAACTGGTTAAGGGCCTGAAGTTGGGAACTGGTGGGATGTTGTGGGGTGGATCAGCAAGAAGTTCAGGGAGATAGTCAGTACTTACTGTGAGGTCTACACTTGCTCTTAGCCCAAACTAAAGGAAGATAAGGAAGCTCTGGACAAAATTTCCCCCAAGGAAGTTGTGGTGAGCATGGAAGTCTCTGGCCCCAAAGTGAGAGCCACCATCAAAGACAGATTTCTGCTTTCAAAACTGATTTTTTTTTTTTTTGTCACTGAAGAATCTCAATTGTGATGAAGGTAAATCCAGTACAATGCGGAGACAATGAACAAGGAAGTGAAAAGATACAGCAGCAACAATCACAGACGCCTAAATGGCCTCAGCAGCATCTTCACCCATACTTACCTCATGCCCTCAAGGTCCCAGAAAGCATCAAGAGTTTGAGGAGAGTGATGATATCATACGCAAAAGGAAGAAAAATAGGACCAAACACCTACAGAGGCCTCATTGTGCACCGGGCCCAGCCGTGAGGTCTGTTGGCTTTCATACCGTCTATTTCTCCTTAGATAGCGCTACCATTGATTGTCTCCTAGTATAGCACGGATTAAATGCAGTCTTTGCAACTAGAGTCACCAGGTTCGAGTCCTCCCTCTCTCCAGTTCCCAGCTAGGATGTGAATTTAGACAAGGTATTTTATGGAGTGTTATATATGGCACGTTACAGACAAGACATCAAGGCACTGAGATGTTAAGATCTCTTCCTGTATGGGTCAGGACTTTCATGTGAACCTATCTGAAGAGCTGGCCTCTACTCCCTGTGACCACTGAGGAGGAGACATGTTCAGAGACCCAGTGATCCAGAGAAAGGTGGATGGAGATCGGCGTGTGATAGCACAGCGATTCTTTCTGCCTCATGACGGCACCTCTGCCGCGACAGACATTTATCTCCCTTCCATAGCTCCCAGAAGACCATCCTTTATGACTCTCTTTCTACAAGCCTTTGTTTAACCCAGAAACCATCAAACAGATTTAAAAGACGCCGACCCCCATTGATGATTGCCTATTGACGATCCCACTTATTCATACTCTGGGTTTTAGTTTTAAACCTTAAGGGGATGAAACCTTAGACTGTAATAATAATAAAAGACTAAGCAGTATTTTAGATTTTTAAACTTCCCTGAAACATGCTTAAATCTATTTTCCTTGCTTTCCAGATTTTCAGTGCAGAGAAAATAGATATGCTATAATCTATCCTTCATAGAAGTCCCCCTCATTCCTGTTTCTGGAAACTTTCCATTCTGGTAAGAGTAACATACCCAACATTTGTCTATGGACAAATGTGTTTCAGTTCGTTCCAGTGAGACTCTGCAGTTTTTAAACTGGGAAGTGATGCACGGCCTAGACAAGACCCAGACATGGGCTCACGAGAGACCACAGGGCTCAAAAGCGACTGCCTTGATCATGGGAAGAAACATTGAGCCGTCGCCAGCATCCGTAGGGGCAGGATGGTCTTTGGGGGCCATCAGCGTCTGAGAGGATCAAAGGACATCTGCGGGCCAGCAGAGCTTGAGCTGGCTCACACCCACTAGCCTCATATTTTAACAGCCATGTACCAAAGCAGTCATGTTTTCCTGAGAAAGGCAGTTTGGGCTAATGTTTGGGGACTTGGGAGTTTCATCAAGGCTGGAGGAAAACAGCAGGGTGCCCTGCCTCTCACTGGGCTCCCAGGCAGCTCAGTCCCTGAAGTTCTGATGTGTCAAGGCTCATTTGACCCTCCTCAGGTTCCCACAGCATCTACTAGTGCTTGCTTCAGAAAGGTCAATGCTTTAGAACGGTGATCTCCACCTTCCTAACGCTGCGACCCTTTAGTACAGTTCATGTTGTGTTGACCCCAACCAAAAAATTATGTCGCTGTTGCTCCATAACTGTAATTTTGCTGCTGTTATGAATTGTAATGTAAGTATCTGATATAAAGGATATGTGACATGTGACGTCACAAGGGGTTGTGACCCACAAGGTTGAAAATTACTGTTTTATAGAATTCTATTAATAAAATATCTAATCTAAATGAGAAAATATAATAATAATAACAACAATGCTTTCTGCAGCTCTGTCCAGGTTAGGGTTGCCAAACCTCTCTCTGCTCCTCCTTTTCCCACCATCAAACCTACAGATGAAACAAAAGTGAAAGGAAGCAAAAAGCATAGCATCAAAGAACCTGGGTCTCTCAGGGAGACAGGAAGACAGCAAAGAGACAACATCACAGATGATGCCAGTTTTTGTCCGAGTAACTGGAGAGTTTCTATAAGATTCCCAGGTGCTTTTATTTTAGAAACCTCCACTCAAGATCTACATAGTTATGACCCAATAGGCTTCTTGGGTTGTTTTCTGGTTGTGAACTCACAAGAACTCAGAAATCACCACAGCTATGCCCTTCAGCACAGGGGATTCTGAAAGAGGTTCTAAGGTATATTTTATGCCCAGTATTTATCCTCTTTGATGTCAAACCTAAGGACCATAAATCTGCCCCCAAAGCCTTGCAGTTTGTCAAGGAACAAATTATGTACGTTATTCATAAAGGTATCTAGTCCTGTGTGGACACATTTGTGATTGTAATTGGTACTACCTCTTGACAGGTGACATATATCAGGGTGTGCCACCCACTATGTCTCTGAAGCTCCTAGAAAAATATCCTGGCAAGATTCACAGTTCATTCCTCCTTCACTTGAGAGTTTATGGACTGAGCACCTCGCATGAGACCCAGTTCAAACTCCTTCTGCTTTGGATGAGAATGTCTTGCCTGTCTTCTTGTCTAAGCAGGCTCTTCCTTCTGGGTCCCCGTTCTTTCCTTTATGACTTTATCATCTCTCAGAGGGAAGAAGCGTCCGGGTTTGGGTAAGGAGGAGACAGTGGAGTCTTGTGTACTAGCTGTCATCTCAATAGGCACAGGAGTAGTTGTCTGAATCAAGAACTATGGATTAGACTGTGCAGACGTCACATGCCACCGCGTACATAGAGGTCAGAGGACAACCTGCAGGAGTTGATTCCTTCCTTCATGTGGGTTTTGGTAATAAAAGTTTGTCATTAGACTTAGCAGCAAGCACCTGTACCCACTAGCCATCTCACCCACCCCAATACTATCCCTTTAAATGGTGGCCTCCTCAAAGCTAGGGAGATGAGTAGAAAGTGAAATATAGGTGTGGGGAGAATTTATGATGCTAGATCCTTTGCTGGCTCCAGATTCCAGAGCCTAGAGCACTCTGCCTGGTGCGCTCATGAGAAAACCTCAGGTCAATGCTGTAGGTCTGAGCACTTGTTCCGAAAACACGGACTCAGGTTCTCAAACTTGAGGCCACCAGATCCCGAGTCTCTCTCCTGGAGGATCCGACAGGGTGGGAGCAGAGTGGGGCTTGATAAGTGGTCTTTCACAAGCTATGGTTAGTGTGTTTCCTGAGGCCTGGCTGAGAGAAACACCGACTTAGGTGCTGGAGAAGAGCCCATCCCTACACTCTCACACCCTGTTTCTGCAGCAGGCTTTGAAAACCCGTTCTGTACCTTGCCTTAAGAAGTCATGGTGGCTGAAGAGGGATGGTGCTGGTGCTTTCTCATGCTCCCCAGGGACAGAATGTGCTGCCTGAAGAAGAAGTTGTCCCCCCCAGGCAGGGGTGAGCCAAGCGTGGTCAGCTGGATGCCACTTTCTAATTTTTACGAGAGCACGGCTACACGCATTTGTTCATGGATTCTATGTGACCGCTTTCACAGCACCGGGGCAGAGTCAGCTATGACAGACAACTGGCCTGCAAGACCATCTATTTACCCTCTACCCCATTCTGCTCTAGGTAATAAAAACACTTAGATGAGGTGATGGGAGACACCCTCTACTGTCCTTCAGCTGACCTGCTAAAGGCATTGTAAGGAGTGTGAAGAAAGAGAAAGAGAGAGGATGGACATTTGCTACGGGGCCTGACTCAAAGTTGCAACTTCATTTCTGCGCTCACTGACCTCTCTTCTCTCTACCTCCTGCCTCCTGCGGACTGCTCTTCCTCTCCCTCCAGATTCCCACTTCCGCTTTCTCCTTCTCTGCAGCCATAGGGGTTCCACCACTGGCTGGCCACTGGCTACTCCATGGAGAGCCTTCTGAAACAGATCAGGATTTGAATCCTACTTCTGGCCTCCAACTGTGAACTCCCAGAGAATTACCTGGGCTTCCATGGACTCAAGTTTCCTGCATAAGACAATAGAGCTGATTATATCTCATTCCTAGGGTCCCTACAGGGACGAAAACTTCCTAGCCAGTGTGCACTGAAAACTGCGAAGTCATCCAACAACACATTTCGACTGTTGTGTTTGGCTCCAACATCACCGGAGAATTCAAGCAGTAAACTAAACACCAACATTTTAGCTTCCTTTTGGGAACAGCAATTGCTGAGACCCTGCCAATGGGCTTATTCCAGCTAGCTCTCCCCAAGCGGGTTAGACCTGAAATTCTTTTGCCCACAGTCTAATGGCTGACAGGGGACCCTGGGACGGCTGGTCCACAGAGGCGTGCTCTGAGGCCAGGGCTTGTGCACGGCTGGTCTTCAATGATGTTTGTGGCCTTGGCTACATCTAATACAAAATCTGGAAGACAGCTAATAAGAGTAAAAAAAAAATTATCTTTAACTAAAACTTCAAAGTTGGAAATAAAGTAGAAAAAAGGTTATAGACAAAAATCAAGGAGCCCCTGAATACTTTACAGCTAACCGCTGGGGCTCACAAGTCTGCCTGGCTCAGCACAGCCTTAAGAGGGGAAAGCAGACAGATATTAACTCATAAAGCACATGAAGAGCCTGGAATCCTTTCCCATCCCTCATGCACAGTCCAATTTCATCCCCAAATCCCTCATCTACGGCTCGGGGGAAACTCCTGTCATGTGCAAAATCCTCAAAATGATTTCCAGAAACTTCCTGTAAATACGCAGAGGACAAGGTGAGCCTTTCTGGTAGGGTTCACATGCACAGTGGCCAAAGACAAAAGCATCTTCGTTGTCCACAGAGACCCTCCCATCTGATGCTTCTCATGCAATCTCACTAACACCACAGTCATTCACAGCCAAACTCATCACTGGTTAGCTCAGTCAGAACCACCAAGCTGATTGTGTTTACAAGAAATTTCGAAACATGCAAAAGAAAACCTCACCAAAAATCCCCCCATCTCTCCCTCCCCCCATGAATGGACACAACTATGTAAGTATCTTGAGTTTGTAAACCAGTAAACCACACAGTGTTTAAAGTTCTGATCTCTAGGCAGATTCAGCCACATTTTGATTGCCTCGTGCAAGAGACCAACAGCTGAGCCCGCTCTGGCTCAGAGATAATAAGTCAGCAATAAAAACCATGTACAGAGAGATTCTGCAAAGACGTTTCATCTCCAACTTTGATAAAAATGTTCAAACTGAACCAGCAAGGATGTAATTTGAACAAGCTGTTGGACCGAGGGCACGGGTATCTTTTGCTTATTTCTGTTGCTTTTTGTTGCTCCTCAAATCTGAAATTTCACCGTATAATGTTTCGCAATGCACCATTTGCATGGGATTAGAATAGAACTGGTTAGTCAGGCCTCAGTTCAATCCAGCTGCTATTTGGGACACTCCTAGACCTTCTAGTGACCTGAGGCCTCACAAACATCTACTAGAAGAAAGAGGAGACAGAGCGAGAGAGGAGACTCCAGAGCATTATGAGAGAAAACACCCCATCCTCTCAAAGGACTATGCCCATTTCCCCAAAGCAAGCCTGGCACAGTCTTCCTGCCTGCGTCTAGGCATCTCTCCTAGAGAAGCCATGTTGTCCAGAGCATTCCGGCCTCTTCATTGACAAGGGCTTATTCTCGGACAGTATAGACAGCAGAGATCAAATCTTACAATAACACAGATTTTTTTTTTATAGCTTCATGGTGAGAAAAAGAAAAGGTACAAGAGTGAATGCTTTTACTCTTGGAAATAGTGTGTATCATCTAAGTGCTTGGAATGTTCTCGGAGGAGGGCATTTATTGCTCTAAAGAGCCTGACCACAAGTGATTTGCCTTTCACTTTGAGAAGGCTATACCCCTTGCTTTTTTTTTTTAACCTTGTTTCTGGATTTAACTGATTGGTCCCCCCACCCCATGACTTCCAATGTTGTTTTGAAATGTATTTCTTTAGGGAGGGGACATCTGGGCAGACGCTTAAGCAGTCCATCTATGAACTGGACAAGCACACACTGCTGTGTCTGCAGAGATGTTTCTGGGGCTTCTATGTGCCCTCACAACACAGAGGAATGAGCTGCCATTGTATCATGGGGGCAGCAATGCGTGTGCCGGGCGGCGTGCGCGCGCGCACACACAAACACACTTTGCTGGTCCCTTCAGACAAATGTCTGTCTAGCTCAAATAGTCCAGCTTGAGGTCTACCCAACCCTTTGCTAACAGGTATTTCACACAGTTCCTCAAAGCAGCTGCCAACTACAGAACCCCCAAATCAAGTTAAAACATGAAGGAAGAGGGAAGTCACATCTTATGAATATTTGAGGAAACAGAAACAGATTTATAAATGAAATTGCAAAATTTCTAAAGCCATTTTCTGTGACTCTCGCGCTGTTACCTCTTCAGACCATCCCATTAGAGCAGCTGACATATGCAGGGCACAGAGCAGCCAACAGACACACTGGCTGTGCGGTTTCTCCTCTGTCCCTTTTAAGATTCCACAGGGAAGGGAGTTGTGCTGCTTCTATTGTCACGGGCACGGGCTCCTTCCGGAGCCTCGGCTCAACACAGATTCTGATGCAGTAGGCTTGGAGTGAACGGAACATCTTCATTGAAAAGAGTTGAG